GCACACACACACACGCACACACACACACGCACACACACACACGCACACACGCGCTCTCACTCTCTCTCTCAGGGTGACCCGAGGTTTGGGACTGGAGGGGTCCAGGCCACGGATCATTATCTGCTCTCCTCCGAGCGATGGGCCTGGATAACAGGGGCCTCCCAGGTCTCTCCAGGGGCCCTGGACCTGAGTGACTCAGCATTCCAGGTCCATTCCTCTCACTCTGCACCCTGACACCATGACGGACCGGACCGGTCCCAGAACGCCGGCAGAAATAACTCACTTTGCTTCAGCGTGCTGGGAGGCGGGACTCTCTGGTGTTTTCACTCGTCACTTCTGAGCTGGGTTTACTTAGAAAACATGATTCATGAGGCAGGTGTCCGGGTCCTGGTACCAGAACACTTACAGTCTGCAGGTATTTACTGAGAAAATAACACCTTAGATCAATAAAACATCTGTTTTTAACCAATAAATAAATAACATTGCCTTTTACTTCAAATAAAAGTTCAAACATGTTTATGAATTTGAAACAGCAGATTATCTTTAAAGCAAAACAGTTTGGTTATAATTATATTTTTAAATCATGATTTCTGAAGTTTATTTTTTTTTTACTTTATGTCCCATAAAAAACATTTTCTGATACTTATTGGAAACGTTATTTATGGGATTACCACTGTTTGAAAAACACAAACCACACAATAAACCAAATAAACAAACTGCACACCAAGACCAGACTCTGGTTTAAAGTTGTTCAGTCTTTGGTTGATTCAGAGATGGACAGCGTATTCTGTACAGTCCAACATTTAAATTAAATCAAAACTGAACCCACCTGGTCCTGACTGGACCTCTGTAGTTGGAGGTAGAAAGTAAAGATAAAACTTTACAAACAACTAGTGAGAAACTGGTTTCAGCTCACCCCAGGATTCCCTCTCCACCCTTTCCCAGGGTCTGTTGACCCCACCTGTCTGTCTTTTTTCACACACATGGATTCTTTCTTTCATTCCTCTTCAGATCTCCACCTCTCCAGGCTCTCTTCCATCTGCTCCCTACCCTCACTACAGACCACAGCATCATCTGCAAACAGTTTCACCAACTTGGTGATTTTCTTGTGATGTCCTATCATTTTGTTTTTTATTATAGACCTTTTTTTTCCCTTTTTTATGACATTTTCTGTGATATTGGAGGCTCTGACATGAAAACACTTATTGGTTTTCTTCAAGCAAAGCTCTGTTCTTGCTCAGTCCTCCTTCAGTCCTTCTTCGTTCTCAGCCTCCCTCCCAGCTTCAGTCAGAGCAGCATATCTTTCCTCCTCTGTGTTTAGATTGCGGATGATGGCACTGCTGGTTGATCTCTGATCCTGACCTAACCCTGACCCTGGTTGTGAGCCAATATTAGATGGAAATGACTATAACAAATTCATTAAAATAACTGAGTGAATATTTTGTGTCACTCACTGAAAAGTGTTGTTTTATTTGAAAAGTAAAAAAAATCAGAGGATTGATGTTTTTCCTATTTTGTATTGAAGTTCTGTACCTAAAATTTAAACACTGAACAGCTGTGATAGTCAAAAACCTATCTTCGTCATCATCACTACAGCTATTCTAGCACCTTCCCTTTTTGTCTCTGCAGAACTTAAACTTCTAAAATGTTGCTGAATTTCCTCTATACTGTCTTGAAAATTGAGCCATGCTTGAGAAGTGACGTTTCACAGACGAATCTGATTTTTAATGACATCACTCCTAGATTTATGACCAAAAGCTGAAAAAGACCTAAAGAAATACAGTGAGTAAACATGAAAAATCAGGAGATTCAACAAAAAAAAGTTTTCGTTTCTCAAACAGGAACAAACAATTCGTAGATGAGGCACTGGTTCTCATTTTTCTCTAGTGAAAGTGGCCCCCCCACCTGGAGAAAGTGATTCAGCAATTCTTCAGGGTTCCCTCTGCGGACCCTATGATCCTAGATCAGTTCTGGAGAACCGGGTCAGCTTATTCCATCACTGAGACAGCTCCATTGTTCTGCCGCCACGCCGAGAACAAAAGGAGAGCGCTCGTGAGAGTTCAGGATCTGTATTTACCTAACTCCCGAGACTCTGGTCCTCCCCTCCCTGCTTCTGGGCTCTGATCCCCTTGCCTGGGCTCCTTGGGCTCTGGCCCCTACCTTCCAAACTCCTGGGACCTGGTCTCTACTCTTTGGGCTCCTGGAGCCCCAGTGCCCCCCTCCCTGGGTTCTGGTCTTTACTCTTTGGGCTCCTGGACCCTGGGCTCCCATAGGCAGCCCTCTCTTATTTTTTTTCTTGCTAACATTTATTTAAAGTCTGCAGCGTTTTTTTTTAATTATTTTATTTTTTCTGAGTCAGCATCAGAAAGTCTGGGCTGTCCTGCAGAAATTCAGAGAAAACTGAGGTTTTTTTTTTATTTCGTCTGATGAAACTTTTTTTGACTCTTTTCTGTTAGAAGTTCTAACAACAATAAATGAGAACATCTGAAAGTAGAACTGACAGGTCTTTGTAGGTCTCTTGAACCTGTCGGACTTTGATGTTACCTGAAACCTGTCCGGTGGTTTTTATCTGCCTTTGGTTCTTCCTTGGAGATGCTGTGACCTTCCATGTCAGCAGATCATCAGTTTGTCCTAATTCTGAGCAGCTTTGTGTCTGAATCAGGAAGTCAAAGATGTTTGCAGAAAATAGCTGAAGTCCTGGAACACAGCAGAGCTCAGGAGCTCTGACTACAGCAGTTCTTCACAGCAACACCTATTGGAGAYGTTTTTAACTCACAGTTACAAGTGAGCATCACGTC